AGTCCCTGTGCTTTGCTTAGCTTAGCTTGTTCTAAGTAAGTGCTTTAGACCACTGAGCCATCTCACCAGCCCCTACTAGTTTCTCTTAATTGAAAAGTTTTCTGCTATTATCTGTTTATTTCTTTGTAAGAATCTTTTTTGTTTCAGAGTAACCACTTCAAAGATGATATGGAATATCTTAACTATTGTTATTGTTTTGTTATTAAATTTCATTTTATCATTTCACAAAATAAAAATGCATACATTTTTAACATAATAAATAGGCAAATTTGAAAGTATTGTCTAATCTTCCTACTGAACAAAAGCCTATAGAAAGGAAGGGAGCTCACCCTCCGTGAAAACGTCCTCTTTTCTGTTCCTGCTGAATCCTTATGTTCTCCAGTCTGAGTGGACTTGGGATGAAGCCAATCTCACAGCCCTCTTTCACCAGCCTTCCTATCCACCAGTCATTGTTGTATTTCTGGAGTACAGAAAGAAAACTACTATCAATATTAACTCATTTATCCATACATAACAGTAATTAATCTCAGGAGACCAGAAGAACAAAACACCATTTGCATGATATACCGCTGTGTCATATGGCCTATCTTGTATATAAGTACTATTTATATTATACGTTATACATTGTAATACATGTTTCAGGCTCATAGAGTGAAGTATGGCTCTGAAGACTTTTTCTATAAAGGCCTTGACAATAAATATTTCAGGCTTTGCATGCCATATTGTCCCTGCCATAAGTACTTGAATCTGCTGTGAAAGCAGCCACAGACACACATAAACAAGTAGCTGTGATTATGTTTCAGTACAACTTGTCTTTGTAACAAACAAAGGTACTGGCCTAGCTTTAACCTGAGGCAATGGTTCTCCAGCACCTAGTGAGGTCAAGCCCTAACCTTTAGACTCCTTTGGTCCTTGTGAAGAAGACCTAGTCAACACTTAAAGAATTTATCAGCCAGAATACCAGTGTTAATGGAACTCTGGAAAGCAAGGTAAGTATGTCTCAGGTGAAATACATTCAATAACAGTGTGCTGTCAAAAGCTTTGAGGTAAAAGTTTCACAGTGCTGCCAGGCTTGATGGCATACCTTTGTAATCCGAGCACTTGGGAGACTAAGGCAGGAAGACTACAAGTTTGAAGCCATCCTAACAAACATAGCAAGATCCTGTGTCAAAAACAAAAACAAATTTAAAATGCTCTCTGTAGTCTATTTTCTTTCAAATACAATTTGCATATTATGGCCCATCTTACTATTTGAAGAAAAAAAAAAAGCTAGCCTGTTCTTACAAAGCCTGAGCATATTAAATACTTGTATGTGGAATTCTGGAATAATCCATTAGGGTTCAAGTATCTTGGAGTCAACATGAACCCTAACATTTCTACCTAAATAATGTTTCCTATAAACCTGGGACATGAGTCCACACAAAGGCTCCATGTAGGGTGGGACTCTATCATTAGAGCCTGATGCAATGGGTCACCAGAACTGCATTTATAACTATTAGTATGCTGGATGCTAGGTAGAAAGCAGTTTAGCCCAAGCCATCTGCCTCCAAGGAAGGCTCAGCTAGGCCATTTCTAGAAAACAGGTATCAAACCTATAAAATTTCTAGAGATGGTTCAAAAAATTTCCTTTATTGTCTTTGTCAGAAAACTGTCTCTAATCATTGTGAGCTGAGCTAGGTAGGTGGCCTACATTTACCTAAGGCCAACTGATTACAGTAGCCAGCTCTGTACATAGGAAATAGGGTCATGCTCAGTCAAAATGGAGATAGTCGCTTTTCTTTCAAGGAGAGCTGCTCCGGTGGCCCTCCACAGGTAGGTACCCAGCCAGTGACCCCACATACAAACTAGAGTACTCAGTGTTTTCCCTATTTCTGGCAATCCATGTGCCCCAAGTAATAATAGAGTTGGTAAAATATAAAAGGCCAGTTTGTTTGAGATAATATACAATGGCCATAAAAGATAAAAGGGATTAAACCTCACATTTAAGAGATATTTGCTAATAAACCTACAAAAAGTTCTAACTCATCTTTTTCATAATTATCCTGTTGTGATTATTTGACTTGTTTCTTTGGCTTTGTCTCCTCCAGACTCAAAGCTATACGTCTACCCAAGAGAAAAATGCCTGTCATCTATCAAGGGCCTTTAGATAAAACCTCTGAAGAACATATCTGACTGCCAGTCAACAACTACTACCCATTTCAGCATGAAGAAGCCAGAGCCGTCTTCGTCCATATTTCCCTTAACGGCAGTTCAGGTTACTTCTTCAGAGGGGGGAATATTGCAGGCAGCCGAGTTAGATAAAAATATTATAGGCAGTCAGACAGGGATAGGCCCTTGAAGGAGACAGCACAGAAGATGAGATGCCTTACAACTGTGGGAGGGGCGGATGCTCCTGCTGTGAACCAGACCTAAAGACCTAAAGGCCAAACAAATGCTAAACGAGTAGCACCTGGGATTGATATTCTAAATAGGTATCAATCACCTGGAAAGACCCAAGTGAGTCACTAGCCCAACTCCCAACAGAAAGAGACCCTATCCCACATTCCAACAGGAAAAGACCTTGTCCCATATATAATCCCATTGGTTGACCATAGTTTTGTCCCACCTCCTGCCCACCTAAGCGAGTTCCCATTCTCTCTACCTTAGCCTCACATGGTTTTACACTATAAAAGTCCCTGGAAGAGACAGCTTCCCAGGGAACTACCCGCTCTCTTGGACAGGAGCTTTCTCTCAATAAATATATTCTGCTCATAAAAAAAAGAAAAAAAAAAAAAAAGGAAACTGTCTCTGTCTGTCTATCTATCTATCTATCTATCTATCATTCACATGTAATGACTATACACAGGATATTTTGCTTAGCTCTGAGAAAAATAGGATTTGTGTGCCTGTAATACTGACATATGGTGAAAAAAGAGTGGATGATTTCATTCAATCATCACAGCATGAAATTCTGAGTAACTCTGAATAACTCTGAGTAAGAGCCTCACACTCTAAAGAAATTATAGAGTCTGATTTGGTCTCTATCATGCTCAGAGTTCCTACACAAGGCATGGAGAACACGAGATATGAGGCTCTATTGAAGAAACATTAGTTGACCTAAAAGAAAATCTTGAACCATGTGGGTCTTAGTTTTTCCCAACTTTTATTTCAGGTCATAGGACTAAAATAACAGGCCAATTTATTTTGAAAGTAAGAATAGGTGAGTGGACCGTTTCAGAAGCATTAGACCATAGGTTTGGAATTTAAGGTTTACTGTGGTTGGGACAAAACAGACCGTGAGTCATGGTATCCTAGGGCTCAAGTTATTTCTCAAAATTAAGTTAGTCTACTGCAATACTAAGTTGTTAAATGGTACCCAGGTGACATTAAAGGGTTTCCTAAATTTGTTAATACACTTCCCAAAATGGTTTAACTTGATTCACAGAAACAGCTAAAGTACAGGGAGACTCTGACTCATGTGAAAATTCTTTGGGCTAGTGGAGATAGTTGCAATGTAAATAAAAGAACTCGATTCAGTCATCCTTCAGCTCCTGAACATCAAGCATAAAGCAACAGGGACAAGCATCACTGTCACTTTTTTGGGGGTTTAAGTTATTTCACTATTGACAAAATATTTAGAATGGTGCATAAGAAATGGCATCAGTGATTATGAGAAAAAAGTCTACAGCTCGATGACAGAACTGAGTGCATTTGTTATCACTGATGTTCAGGGAGCTTGCTCCAGCTTTCTGAAAAGGTCATCTTAGTGTTGTTCCAACGTTTTTATTTTGATTTTCCTAATATAACTGGTGCTTTTTCTTTCTACGATTTTGATAATCTGAACTTTCAAGACCTGAAAAGATGAGTGGCTCTCATCTACCCAGGATTAACAACTCAATTCCACATATCAAACTGCCAGGCTGAAGACAAAGTTCTTGATCAATAAGAACACAGATCCAAAAGCAACCAATGAGACAAGTTAGAATTCTGACAGGGAGGAGCTCAAAGGAATCCAAATTCAAAGTAATGACAAGTTGAGGAAAATGCTCATCATCCAGATGTTCTCAGTACCTACTCACATTGTGTACATGGACTAAAGCACCACACTCAACAAATGTACAATATCATGTGTTAATCAAAAACTTTGGTTTGGGGCCAGGGAGATGGCTCAGTGGAATAAGTGCTTCCCTGGCAAGCTCAAGGGCCTGAGTTCAATCCCCAGTTCCGCACAAAAACAAACAAACAAACAAACAACAACAAAAAAAAACCTTTTTTTTTTTTTTTCAGGTATTAGGTAACTCAAGCTGGCCTTGAACTTGTGTTGATCCCCCTGCCTCAGTCCCTGAGTGTTGGGATTACAAGCATGTGCCACAACATCTGACTCAAAAGCTTTTTAAAAGAATGTAGTGAAAAAAAAAAGTTCTTTGTGTGATGAAAATGTTAACTATCCTGATTTGATCACTATATATTATATGCACGTATCAAATAATCACAATGTGCTTCATAAACATGTATAATTATAATAGTAATTAAGAAAAAATACTGGTAGAATATGGGAAAACAATAAAATGGAACGAGGCTGGAATGTTTGTGTGAATGAGTATGCACATGACATCCTTTTAGCAGCTAATGAATGGGACAAAGGGGCTTGGTCATTTTTTATGCAAATGGTAAGGCAGAGGCACGGTAAGCATGAGGATGCTCGGGCACATTGCAGGTTGAAGTTCCTCATCATCTAGGTAAATGCAGATAGCATCACCTCACATGCCATCAAGAGAGAAGTCATGAATGTGGTTTTCCTGCAGTTTCCCATCACCAAGGCTCTGAGCTACCTGTGCACAAACTCATTTTTTGAACTGTCACATGAAGGTCCAGTGTGGGCCTGGCTCCCCTCCTTCTTGCCTCCTCAGAAACTTTACCCCTGTGCCCATCTCTCTCTCTGTCAGTTGTTAATGTCAACATGAGCAGGGCCTTTAATAGCTCCCACCTGCAAGGAAGACTGCTCCTGACTTCATGCCCAGTCCGTGTCGACCCCCCAGGAAGCACATGTTAAGTACATTTCCTAGTGTCCACTGTGTCCTCCACCTCCTTGGTTTGGCTTCCTTCTCCACAATCCCACAATGTCCATGCAACTAATCTGGACTATAGAATGCAGTTTTAAAAATAATAATCTTCAGGGCTGGGGAGATGGCTCAGTGGAATAAGTGCTTCCCTGGCAAGCGCAAGGGCCTGAGTTCAATACCCAGTTCTGCTAAAATAAATAAATAAAATAATAATCTTCAAGCTCATTGTGCAGGCAGCCCCAGTGGCAGTGTGTTCAGGTTTTACTTCACTGTTCTTCCTTTAAGGTTCAGTTTCTCAGCCCTCACCCCTAGCAGAGCAAATGGAGACCATCAAATGGAAACACCCTTCCTTGTGTACCCTCCAGCCCCACTGGAAAATTCTGTGCAGAACAAGGAGATTCAGAGGGAGCTTGCCCCAGATTCAGCCTAAGTCCCATGTCCATTCTCCAGCTGCTGTCTCCTCCCCTCTTCTCCAGCCTCTCACTTGATGAGCTGCCCCTATGTCTTTCAAAACAGTTTCTGGGTTCAGTATCTCAGCATGGAAAATAGAATCTTTCTCATCCTAAAATGCAAAAGTATACAGCAGATTACAAAAATGTTTCTTCAATCTTAATATCTTCCCCTGGCTGGAAACCTTTCTTCTTTTCAATTCAAAGCACTGAGAAAAAACATATTACAATTCCTCTCCTCTGGCCTCTAGATGATCTAGGTAAGGGCCTTCCGAGCATCTCTGTGAGGAGTTCCATCATGCCCCAGGTACAGGAACTCACAGGCAGAATTCCTAAGCAAATTCGCTCCTGTAACAAATCTGCTTACCTCTCTGCCTTCTCTACTACCCTCTGTCTTTTCAAGTGATCCGTCTCTCTCACACTCCACCACCTCGGTCCATATGAAATCTCCAAACTGCTGTATATGACTCTTCACTCTGTCTCCCAGCTGCCTGCTCTCCCCTGCTCTCTGGGCCACTGTAGCTGTCCAGCCTTTGGTATTATCAGCCCTGTGCAATGCTCCTCTGCCCCTTACAATTACCACTCTAACCTGTGACACTGGTCACATCTGTCCATCTGTTCAAAGAACGCTTGTGACCATTCTTTCTGCCAGATGCTACCCCTTGTCCTGGCCCCTTGTTCAGGCCTCGCTACCTCTATAGGGTTTTCTGGTCCCCTGACCTTCTTCCTAGCAACTGGCAGTCTCTTCTCCTTTTATTTGCACTCTCACATTACCCACCCAGTGTTTCTATAATAGAATTTATCCTCTTTTGTGGAAACTATGTATGTTTATCTGTTCTTCCCTCTAAATTCAGAGCTCTCTGTCCATGGGTACATGATCCTTATTTCTGATCTTCATATCTGATCCAACCAATGCCCAGTATGTCTGACATAAAGTAGAATGTCAGTGTACATAGGCAGAGTAAATGGATTTTTTTTCCAGAACCGGGGATTGAACTCAGGCCCTTGCGCTTGCCAGAGAAGCACTTATTCCACTGAGCCATCTCCCTGGCCCCAATGGATGTTTTTGATGTCAACATTTCACTTGCTATAAATCTTCCTCATATTGCCCAAGCTCCAAAGCTCTGTTTCCCAGTCTTCTGTCCTTTTCTTAGCTTTAACACTTTCCTTTAATGACTATACTTTTTTTTTTTTTTTATTTAGTACAGGGTCTACAGGGTCTCACTACATAGATCAGACTTACAGTGATTCTCCTGTTTTTCAGCCTCTCAAGTGCTGGGATTACAGGTGTGCGGCACCACACCCAGTCTTAACTGCTGTCTCAGCATGCCCTGGGGGCAGGGTCAGCATGGTACACCAGGGATTGAACCCTGGCCACTGTGCTCTGCCTAAGCAGGCACTTTAGTCTGCTGAGCTATCTGGCTTGCCCTTAACACTCTTGTGTTGGTCCCAAGATCACAGTTCATAGGACTATAGCTCAGTGATCATAATTATAACACCCTTGTTATAGTCCTTTCTGTAGGTGCCAAGCCATCAAACTTGCATTTCTCTAAGTTGGACTGATAGTTCTATGGCTCTGTGGCAGTACAATGTGATTAATAGGTGGGGCCAGGAGGGCTGAGGACATACCTTAGCATGCACAAGGCCCTGGGTTCAACCTCCAGTGCTGCAATAAAAAAAGAAGAGGAGAAGAGCGGAGAGGAGAGGAGAGGAGAGGAGAGGAGCGGAGCTGGGTATAGCTCAGAGGTACAGTGTCTACCTAGCATGTGCAAGGCCCTAGGTTTGATATGTAATGCTGCAGGAAAAAAGAAGTGAAAGGATCACAGAATCATTTTCAATCCATCCTATGATTTTAAAGGTTGACTAGGATCCAATGTTGTAATGAGTGTGTGATGATGCAGGGCAGTGAACTCAGGCTTCTAAATCTTGGTGAGAATGAATGACTGTGGAAATTAAAAAGGCACCAGGTTGACGGCACCTCAGGTCTCTCTCCGATGACTTTGGCTCAGAGCTGATACTCGCAAATATTGGCTTTTTGGCAGGTAGAGAAGGTACAGTGTTTCCTATACATTTACCTCTTTAATATGTAGAAAGTCCTTGGCATCGAAGGAGATGGCCGTGCTGGGAACAGGCACATCCTCGTCTAGGGCACCACAGTAGCTCACATTTGTCTTCACAGCGAATGCTACAGGTTTGGACTAGAGATAGAATCAACCGGAGAATAAGAATGGAGGGAGGCAGAATGGGGCAGGAGAATTCTTCAATTGAAATGGATCATAATATAACTGACAGCACCAGACAGTAAGGGATATCATTTTGCAAAAAGAAATCTCCACTGGGCTTTACATTCTTAGGTGCTATCAAGAAATTTGCACAGATGACTGTGAAATGGCTCATGCCTACCAGCTGTTCCTCTCCTGTGGTTCTTCACAAAATCTTAAAGAACAACCTCCTAAGGTACTGGGCAGGGATGGAGAGAGGTACAGACAGTTTATTCACTGGTCATAAAAGCTACTTATTTTAAATGGTAAGAGATACGTTCTCACCTTGGGTTATTGGCTTTTTGGCAGGTAGAGAAGGTACAGTATTTCCTATACATTTTCCTCTTTAATATGTAGAAAGAAACACATGCTAGGAATTAAGCAAAAACAAAACAAATCCAGGGGTTGGGGGAAGAATAGCAAAATATTTCTTAAACAGACTCAGATCTGAAAGCTTTTAAAATTCAACACAGAAAGAACACCTTGTCCTGCCAGGAGAAAGGAGGGCCAGCCTGGCTAAACATGATGAATGGGGCATTCCTCCCCATGTCACTCCATGTCAACAAAGCAAAAATAAAATTCTGAACTTTGCACTAAAACCTAGAGAAAAGTATGTAAGAACCTACAGGGCACTGCAGAGAACACAAGGCATGTGTGGTCGCTAAAGGACAAGAAGGAGCCAAAGGCAGGTGCTCAAGCTGGCACAGCAGAAAGCTCTTTGCCAACATGGGCATGGCGAGTTTGACACTGCCACATTGATAAGCTGGAAAATGACCAGTAATTCACCATCGAACTAAAAATAAAAGGGGGACTGGCCCCTTGGGGATGTTACTAACCTCAGAGAGCCTTGACATGTGGAGTTTTAGCAGGAAGACCAGAAAATGAGTATTCAGAAAAACACAAGGAAGGGCAAGGGCAACTGACAGCTCCTGAAAGCATGAAGCACTGAAACAAAGAAAGGGAAGAAAGTCACCTTTGCTCTCTCAAGCTGGATGGCTGCTTGCTGTTCTCTCTCCTGCCGAATTGCTTCCCGGTCCTCTTCCAATGAGACATCAGAGTCAGATGGCCTGCTTGTGTAGGAATCCGCTGAACCCTGGAGACAGAACACAGAACAGCTTCAGTGAGACGCGGTGTAGTTTCTTAGATCCTCACATCCTCAGCAGTATGCTGGGGTGAGCTCCTTTCACTTGCATAGGATTTGATGCACACTCTTGGTGCCTCATTGCAGATATAAACTTAGACACCAGAATACAGTTAAACATATGAATTATTTGGAATGTAGCAATATAATGAAAGAAAATATTTTGACTAGATTAAGTGTTAGGAGGCGCAATGCAATGAAAATGACACAATATTCAGCCCAATTCTTATTTTGTACTATCTTTTTATTAAGCCCAATACATTTGTGAAACTAAAGTTTTCATTTATTTTTCTCTTTGGGATATACTATCCATCTAAAGGAAAAAGAGACTCAGCCTATTACAAGAATGAAACCCTAAGGGCTGTCCAGATAACTCAGTGGACTAAAAGCACCTGCTTAGGCAGAGCACAGCAGCCAGGGTTTGATCACGGGTATGCCATGCTGGCCCTGTCCCCAGGGCACATGGAGACAACAATTGACACTGGGCGTGGTGGTGCGTGTCTGTAATCATAGCGATTGGAAGGCTGAATACAGGAGAATCACTACAAGTCTGATCTACATAGTGAGACCCTGTAGACCCTGCAGACTCTATACCAAAAAAAAACAAAAAAAACCCAAACTCTACCTGTGCCGTGGGTTACAGAGTTCTCAATTTGCCCAGTACTACAGCACTGTAAACCAGAATCCTAAATTAGTAAAATGAACTTCTAAGTTCAAGGCCAACATTACTGAACTCTTTCACTACTAAAACTTCAACCATTGTCCTACAGCAGCCCCTATGTAGACAGCATGGAAAGAGAGCAGAGAAACGTCCTGAGGACTCCAACAAAGATGCTCCAAACTCAAGCCACACCCAGAAGGGCTATTTGATCAGAACTGAAATTCAGCCTGACTGATGGAGCCGAGACATCACAGTTCTCAGCACTGCTGGGTGCTCATGCAAGAAGAGGAGAAAAGCCAAAGTTTCTAGTTTAAAAGTTACCCCCTCAGCCTCCCAAGACACAACCCCAGAGGCCTGCCCTCTGGCTACTAAAGAAACACAATTCTTACAACTTCCGTAAGCTGGCATTAGACACTGATATTTGCATAGATGATGACATTTACAGAGCAGAGGCACTGAGAGGCCTGGTGCGTTGCATGTTTCCTAAGTCATGCACATTTTTTAAAAAGCATAGATTTATTCACATGGGACAGAATTTACTACTCTTTGGGAGTAAAAAAAGAACTTTAAAAAACATCTCACAGCTGAAATTGGCCCTTTTTAATTTTTCTAAACTTAAAGATGTTTATTGGGAATTTGTTGCCTTTCGAGGCTGGGCAGCTTTCTCTGTCATCCTAGATGTGGTGGTCTCTCCCACCATCAGGAAAGCCCACTGCCGATGACCCTGGCAGGTGGAACAAGAACTCCTGGCAAAGGTTTTATTAGAATGCCCAGGTATATTCTGTGTTATGGTTTGTGTCTAGGTGTCCCCCGCAAAGCCTCAAGCAGTCCTGGGGCAGCTTCTGGAGTTTGTGATTGATAATTGTTGGTGTGGATGCTGCACCTGCCCTGGGGTGGGTAATGTGCATTATAATGTAAGGAGGGAAGAGAAGCTAGCTGCCTGAGCTGCTTCTCCTCCCTTGTACTCTCACTCTTTGCCACCACCATGAAGAGTTGCTTTCTGCTGTGTGCTGCTCTGCCTTGGACCCAGCTGAATATGGACAGAAACCTCCAGTAACTCTGAGCTAAATAAACCTTTCCTTCCTTCAATTTGGGTGTCAGGTATTTGTCCCAGCAATGAGAGAAGAGTAACCAAGACACCTTGGTTCTGAATTCTGCCTCTGCAACATCCAGAAACTTTCTTCATGTTCCTGGGTCACTCTGAGACAGTCTCCTGCTCCACAGGACAGGAACCTAGCTTCACAGGGTTAGAGGGAGCAAAATGCAGCGAGCAGCTGGCACCTCTGGGTGCTCACTACCAAACTGGCAAGGGGCAGATGCTTTACTCATGTTATCAAGCTCTATCCTCACCCCAGGGAGGAAGCCGATGTTTAAATTCAGTTAATTCAATCTTAGAACAGGCATTTTTAGTTTTTTTTTTTTTTTTGTAGAACCGGGGATTGAACTCAGGCCCTTGCACTTGCCAGGCAAGTGCTTATTCCACTGAGCCATCTCCCCGGCCCCAGAACAGGCATTTTTTAAAAA